TTCACCAACCTATTTTTCTTCACATACCTATAGAAACTTCTAGAGTCAATTTTTATGTTCCCCCCAAGCTTGCTCTCACACGCTATTTTCCTTTCCTTAATCTCTTAGTCCTCCTCTGCCGAATCGTAAACTGTTCCCAATTCTTGGTCTGTTGTTATTTTCTGGTTAATTGTGTGCCTCTTTCTTGGATTTAAGCATTCTGAAGTAATGGGATATGATGTTCTTCACGGACTTTAAAAGAGGTGTGAGAATTCCCGATGAAATTTTATCGCTTTGATATTACAAACACTCGTTCTTACAAACGCAATCCCAGAATGTAATTTTAAAGACCAGAAATACAAACATTTCTTGTACTTATGAACGGTTTCTTTATATTGTCCTGCATTGTGTTGCAACTTACATACAAATCAATGTGCAAACAGACTCCAGAGCTGAACCTGGGGACTGCTTGTACATGCATTCCTACTTAAAAGAGATATTGCTTGGTTCCTTAACATACAAGAGTCTCCTTGATCTCTTGCTAAGTATAGCAATTAACTGACCTCAGCTTTTAAGTTCTTTGCCCCTTGGACTTGTAGTTTAATTCTTACTTACAGGCATCTACTGGTTGAAATTAAGGTTAAAGTTAAACTGTTGCACCATTAACTGACTTAAAAGCTATCATGAAGCTTTTCACTTCTGGTGCTAACATCCAGAATCTCTGATTGACTGCACCTAAGAACACGTTTCTTCCCTTGTTGCTCTTCACTTGTAATTTCTTGAATTTTCTACTTTTCAAGATATTTTCTTCTTAGGAATTTTCTCTTTACTGCCAATTTTTTCTGTTTCTGTATTGATAATGTGCATTTAAATTTGCAAAAAGTCTTGATGTGTCCAATCTTGTTGCATTGGCAACTCTCAGTTTCTAATGCTAGGCATTCATAGTATCTGCGGAATTGCTTTGCTCCGCAATGTGAACATTCAAAAGTGGCCATTGGAGGTAGTTTCTCGCTCTCTCTGTATTTTTTGCAGATTTTTGGGAGGATAATGCTGCCCTCTTGTGGCCCAACTGACCAAATCAGTCAAAGCCTCAGATTTCATCAGAAAATGGCCCAATTCACAGATCTGAGCTCACCCCGCATCACGGACTGAATCGCTTACTCCAAAGTCAAATCCTGTTTTAATTGTAAGAAAAAACTGACTTCTCATCGCAGACCCTCACAACAACCCAATCATGAATCAGCTCATCTTGTAATGCCCCATATTTGTAATGGCTAGCTAGTAAAAGTCAATAAGTAAGATGGCTGAGGTTATTGGAGATCAGTCAGCTCTGCTCCAGGCACCGCTACAAGCATTTCTCACAGCAGTGTCCTGGACTGAACCATCTTCAACAGCTTCATCAATGACCTTCACTTCATCACAAGGTCAGAAACGGGGGTGGTTGCTGATGATAACACAATGTTTCAACACTATTTGCGATTCCTCAGATACAGAAGCAGTCCATGCTCAAATGCAGCACGACCTGGACAATATCTATGCCTGGGCTTGAAAACTGGCGAGTAATGTTTGTGCCACATAAATGCTAGGAAATGACCATCTTCAATAAGAGACAATCTAACCATCACACATCAACATTCAATGATGTTACCATCAACGAATACCCCACTATCAACATCCTGGGTGTTACCATTGACCAGAAACTGAACTGGGCTAGCCAGATAAATACAGTGGCTACATGAGCAGGTCAGAGGCTATGAATCTTCATTCACCAAAGCCTAACAACCATTAGGTGTGTTATATGGGATGGGTCTGGGTGGGATGGTCTGATGGTCGGTGTGGACTTGTTGGGCCAAATGGCCTGTTTCCACACTGTAGGGATTCTATGATTCTATGATGACAAGGTACAAGTCAGGAGTATGATGGAATACTCCCCACTTGCCTGGATGAGTGCAGCTCCAAAAACACTCAAGAAACTTAACACCATCCAGGACAAACCAGCCCGCTTGATTGGCACTACATCCACAGGATCTACTCCCGCCACCACCAATAGAATGTGTGCTATCATGCATTGCAGGAAGTCACCAGGACTCCTGGTAAAGCACCTTCCAAACCCATGACCACTACCATGTAGATGGGCAAGGGCTGTAGACACATGGGAATGTTGCCACCTGCAAATTCAACTCCAAGCCACTCACTACCCTGTCTTGGAAATATATTGCCATACATTCACTCCTGCTGGGTCAAAATTCTGGAACTCCTTCTCAAATAACTTTGTTAGTCTACCTACACTAAATTGACTAGAGTTGTTCAAGAGGGTAACTCATTACCACCTTATAAAAGGCAACTATGGGTGGACAATGAATATTGGCCCAGCCTGTGACATCCACATTCCACAAGTGAATTTAAAACGCATGAAACAATTGCTGAATTCCCCTGTTCGGTGGGATCTTTGATTAAATCACATTCATACAATTTATGATTCTGTTTTGGGCTTAAATACGTTTCAAATACCTTATGGATGAGCCTGAAATCTGTAGTGATTGCACAAGAACATTAAAAGCAATAGGCCTGATTGCATACAGGAACAGACTACCTGGTGCTCCTGCTCCTTGATCTGTGAACCTGTTGCTGTTCAATATCATCAGAACTGCTTCGTCTACAGCTCCCAATACTGACCTCTCTGTCTGCATTCTGCATTTTCAAAATGCTATGGTAGGGGCAGTAACTGAACTGATGCTGCCATCATCATGGATTTCAATACACCTCTGACCTAGGCAAGTCTCTGATTATTTTTCCCGCTGAGGTCTGCTGATTCTTCACTTCATAAACTTCAGTCCATAGTTTTAACATCTCACTACTTTGGAGTCTCGATTGCTACCACTATGGTTTCACCCATACAACTCTTAGTTGATCAGTCCTCATGGTTAAGCTGCCATGAGGTTTGCAACTTCAGGTTCCACTTTGCACTGCTAAGAGACTGCTCCCTTAGATGTCCGACTCTGGTGCATCTCAGTCACTACCTTATCCAAGATTCACCATTTCTTACTCTTGGGAATTCCAGCAACTCTTCTATTGGAATCATAGAATCTCTACAGTGTGGAAGCAGGCCATTTGGCCTATCGAGTCCACACTGACTCTCCAAGGAGCATCCAACCCAGACTCACCCACCTACTCTCTCCCATCCCATGGCCTAACTTACACATCCCTGGACACTACCAACAATTTAGCATGGCCAATCCACCTAACCTGCCCTGCATATCTTTATACTGTGGGAGAAAACTGGAGCACCTGGAGGAAACACACGCAGACACAAGGAGAATGTGTAAACTCCACATGGACAGTCGCCCAAAGGTAGACTCTTTTATTGAGACACTATTATGCAACAACATCAGAAAATGCTGGAGAAACTCAGCAGGTTGGGCAGCATTTGTAGAGCGAAAACAGTGTTAACACTTCTGGTCCAGTGACTGTCCCTTAAATGTTCTACTACTTGACCATCTTTATCCACCTCATTTTCAAGTGCCAGGTCTAGCAATCCCCTTACTGTTGGACTGGGAACATGTGGCTGCTGCAGATTTTTGTTCGGAACCATCCTGAAACAGGCCGCCTACACTACGACTATTCAAATCTACATTGGGATAATTAACAATGCCCGTTAGCTCTATATCATTTTTGTTTCTCTCTGTAACTTCCTTGCAATTTGTTCCCCACACCTTTCCACCAGTTGGTGGCCTGAAGCCTACACCAAGCATCGTAAATGGACCTTGTCTGTTCTTTAACTTTCACGAAATCTACGACTGTGTTGCCAAATTTTGAACAAATGCCATCTACAAGTTCGCTGACAACACCATCAAACGAGTCAAAATACAGAAGGTAGATAGAGGGCTTGGTGACGTGGTGCAATGAAAACAAACTGTCTCTCAATGTCAGCTAAACTAAAGAACTGTTCATCAACTTCAGAAAGAAAGGAGGAGAACATGCCCCCATCTACATCAACGGAACTGAGGTTGAGAAAGTGAAGATTCCTTGGAGTGACGATAACCGACGACCTGTCCTGGACTTCCCACGTTGATGCAACAGTCAAGATGGCACAACAACGCCTCTTCTTCCTCAGGTGGCTCAGGAAATTTGGCATGTCCATAAGGTCCCTCACCAACTTCTACAGATGCACCATTGAAAGCATACTGTCCGGGTGCATAACGGCCTGGTACGGCAACTGCTCTCCCCAGGACTGTAAGAAACTACAGAAGGCAGTGTGCACAGCCCAGGCCATCAGGGAAGCCAACCTTCCATCCATGGACTGTACTTACACGGCTCGCTGCCGCGGAATGGCAGTCAACATCATCAAAGAACCATTGCACTCTGGTAATGATTTCCTATAACCTCTTCCGTCAGATAGAAGATACAGAAGCCTGAACACACGCACAAGCAGGTTTAGGAACAGCTTCTTCCGGCTGTTATCAGACAATTGAATGGCCTCTAGCCTCAAATAATGTAAACTGCAATGTACAAAAACAAAGTTGCTGGAGAAGCTCACAGGTCTGGCAGCGGTTTTTATCCTGCAATGTAACCTGTATGCCTCTAAGTCTTTTTGATCTGTACATTTTTGCTTGCTGTGATTTGTCTGTACTGCTCGTAAACAAAGCTTTTCACTGTATTTCTTAACAGGTGACGATAAAATCAAAATCAAATCAGGTAGACAAACGGGAAGCTGGAAGAACACAGCAAGGCAGGCAGCATCTGGAGGAAAGGAGCAGTCTGAAGAAGGGTCCTGACCCGAAACTCCTCTGATGCGGCCTGGCCGACTGTGCTCCTCCAGCTCCACACCTTGTTATCACAACAAAGTAATACCTGAGATAAAACAGTGACTTAGTTGTGTTCTCCCAGCCTCCCGATCGGGAGGGGGCGGTGTCGCTGGAGGAACTCCCGAGCGGGAGGGGGCGGTGTCGCTGGAGGAACTCCCGAGCGGGAGGGGGCGGTGTCGCTGGAGGAACTCCCGAGCGGGAGGTGGCGCTGTCGTTGGAGGTTGTCGCGAGGTTTACCGCTTGATTGACAGGCGGCGGCAAAGAATCGTGAGCGGTGGCTTCACGTTCGTAATCACATCATCAGTAACAGCAATAACCGGTGGCGGGGGGTGGGGGGAGGTTAAACAATGACCACGGTGGAGGAATTGTACCGTAACTACGGTATCCTGGCAGATGCTACGGATAATGTGGGCCAGGTGAGTGCGCGGGCGGCGGAAATCAGGCGGTAAATGCGCTTTGTTCAGGCCGGGCCTGTGTGGGGCTGGGGAGGCGGGTAGGGCCCTCGGACACGGGCCTAGGCTGGGGCTTTTACGTTTTGTCCAGGCTCGGCGCCGTCAAAGTGTTTACCCACCACCGCACATCACCCCCCCCACCCACACACACACCC